CTAATGGTGGATTTGCACGGGGATAAGCTTCTTAAAACTCCCTCCTTTGCTTGTTTCACTACTCTACAATGCCTAAAATTGAGCAGTGTTACGATAGATGAGGAGTTTTGCAAATGGATTTCATGTTCATGTAAATGCATTAAAGAGTTAGGGCTTGAATCCGTTGTTGGGATAGAAAAAATATGCATTGAAAGCTCATCTTTAGAATCATTTCGATTTGTGCCTAGTTACCGTCATGTTTGCCATCTCAATATCTCCGGGGAAAAACTTGAAAATATACAAATGTACTGGATTTATCAATCAAGCAAGCTAAATATTTTCGCTCCCAATCTTAAAAGTTTGAAATGGAAAGGGAGGGTGGCAAGTCACCTAAATCTGGAGAAGGTCATGTGTTTGGAAAAAGCTGAGATTTTTCTCCAGCCTAGGATAAGGGCTGATTTTGGCAATTTATTTGAGGCGTTTTGCAGTATTCAGAGAGTTGAAGTTCTTATGCTAAATGTAGCGACCATGAAGGTACGGAACACTTCCCTTACCCTAGCTATACCCTTTTCAAACCTGCTTATTTTTATCTCAATTCAGTATCTAAACTACAATTAGAAATGTACTAAAAATCAATTCAGAATCAAACGTTTGGAAGGTTTGGAATCCTGAACCTAGCCTGCTCGTTTTTATCTCTATATAAAATAATGTGGCCTTTATAACATTGCAGGCTCTCGTTCTTTCTCGATATAAAATGTTGTCTTTATAACATTGCAGGCTCTAATTTGGAAGGGTTCCATGCCGGGATTATTAGCTCATGTTGGTCACTTTTGTGTGCGTGACATGAGTTTGACGGATCACCTAGTCAAAGTAATGACCTCTCTGCTTAAACGAATGCCTAACTTGCATACTTTGCACGTTGTAACCTCAAAATCTGTTTGCTGTGTAAGTAAAACTTGTGTTTGCTCTCTCTCTCTCTCTCTCTCTCTCTCTCTCTCTCTCTCTCTCTCTCTCTCTCTCCAACAGAGATTATCCGATGTCTTAGATGATTCCTGTAGTAATTCGATTGTACTAAATATATAATTGGAAAACTATTGCGTGGTGTTTTTTTCTTTTTCTTTTTAAGAACTTCAATATATTTGCCTGTTATATCTTTTGCAGGAATCTGGAAAGTTTGGTAGCAAATATTGGAAGCTCAAAAACCTAGCTTGTATTAATCAGCTTAAAGAAGTAACATTTGAGATTTCCAATAATGGGATGAATGAATGGGAGTTAGCAAGGTATATCATCGAGAATGCTAAGAATTTGAAGAAACTGTTCATATATTATTTGCCCAATCAGTTTACTCTCTTTAGGGAGATAACTGAAAGCGCGACGAACTCCCCAGCTACAGTTGAGTTTAAGGTATATGATAAATCCAGAAGAGTTTACAATGATGATCTTATTAGTCCTGATGTACAACAGAAGACCAATTGAATCGTCTTCCCGAATAAAAAGCAGAGGTTTCTCTCCTTATTTGCCAATTCCAGCTACTTCTTTCTCATCTCCTTTGCCTCTTTGCATTTCTATTTCATTTTTGGCCCTTAATTTCGTGTGTTCTTTGAGCTTTTGTCTCAACTTTCCTAAGCTTGTCTCAATTTTAGGCTTTTATGGACCCTTTTCCTCATATGTAACTTCCCATTGTCAGTCTTCCACCTCCAATCTCTGCTACTCGGCCCATCAGGTGTCTGTCCTCGACGGTGTACTTTGGTGTTGGGTGGTTGTTAGAGTGGTATTAGCACTGTTTGGTAGGATTCTGGGAGCGCTTTTTGCTCGAGTGGCTCACTCAGCCCCATTTTCTATGCATCCAATTTGTTCATAGGTTCTCCTTCTTGGTGGTGGATTTACGATGGCGTCGCAGTTGGTGTGGTGGAGACAACAATCTTCCAGATCTAAGGTTTTTTTGTTATTGTGGGTTTGCACTTTTTAGACCTATCCATTGTATTTCCTCTTGAGCTATGCTTGTATTAGAATTGCCTTTTGAGCTTTTTATAACTTTCTTAATTAATGAAAGTTATCTTTTTTGAAAAGAAAAAAAAAATCCTGATGTACATGCAATGTGAAATTTCAATGGATAGTGATATTTTACTTGATATCAACAGTTTTACTACTGATGGAATTATGCTCACTAATACCTAAAGCACAATGCTCTTCGAGAGGTCCTCTAACCCTATGTCATGCATCTTTCTTAATTTAGTTTGGGGTCTTAATATGCTAGTATTAATTTAAATTCAACATAACGAGATTTTGCTGATTTTGAAGTTTTGAACTTTAACCCCAGACATTACTATAAACAACGTGAACATGCATGTGAAACTGGTGTATTGGCCCCGAACATTACTATAAACATTGTGCAAACATATACATGATGAGCATATAAATGGTATAAAAGATCATGCCATAGTCGGATTCACAATACTCATAAACAACAATATCAATTTTCTATGTAAAAGACATGGCATGATATACCCGTATTCAAAAAATAGTTATGGAAACCATATATAATAAATATAATTTGAAAACTAAAGCCCACTCACTGATACGTCATAGGGTCGTAGCTATCTTGCCTTGTCTGCCCTTTAAAATCCTCGAGATAAGCCTGCTCTATATGCATTTCAAACAATTAAGGAAAACACTCGAAAGTTCCTTTTTGTTAACTTATTTTGGGAGTTAGAAGTGTTTGAAAAAGGACTCACGGGCTTCCGCTTGCCGTACATAAGATTTTTCATAAGCATGAGGCAAATAACAATGTACTTGAAGTTTTTGTAGTACCTACAAGGTTAAAGTTCTTATTAAGCGGAGAGACAACCAAGATAAAATAGTTGAAATAGGGATTCTACGAATTTCTATTGCTAAAATTATCAAAATCAAATAACAACAACACCAAACAATACTCAATCCATCTGTTCACGAATATCCACAAAATCTCGAAATAATCATTTCACCAATATTAGTGTTATCATAATTTTTCCTATAATCCCAAAAAATATAACCTTACAGCACCTTACAGCATCTCCAAAGGAAATGTCAAAACTTCTTCATAGGCAGTAAAAAAAATTCTCTCCAACCAATCCTTCAATTTCTTACGTGACGCTGAGTCAATTAAAAGCAAAGCATTTTGCTGTCAAATTTGACAGCAGCTGCCAAATTCATTTAATAATTATTTTAATAGATTTAATTCAATATATAATAAATATTGTTGTCTAGTCTAAGAATTTGATTGGTTGTCTTCACAAATGGACCCCACAACGTGATAAAAAAATATTTAGAATGACATTGTTATTTAACACATCGGGTAGAACAAAAAAATATACAAAGGGGGTGTAGTCAATATGGATTTCATGGGATTTTAATGGATTTTTTTAAGTGACAGATTTTAAAGGATTTTAATAGACTCAACAAATCTATATGGATTTTAACAAATTGGGATTTTATTACAAATTTATACGGATTTGTATGGACTTTTTTCATAGATTTTTATGGATTTATAGTTGATTCCTACGAACTAGGATTCTCTCCTGAGCATTCCCTAGGGATCCCGCAATCTTGTCCGTTCATTTTATATCGTGCGGTCAGTTTTCGTTAAGTACTATTCATATTTGAATTTTAAAATTTAAATTTTAAATGATTTCTGACCGCACGATACACGATGAACGGACAAGATTGCGGAATCCCTAGGATCCCTAGGGAAATGCTCAGGAGAGAATCCTGGTTCGATTCCTACAACATAAACAATATAGAAATTTGAGACACAAAGTAGAAATTCAGATAAAGTAACCACAACAAAAACACATTGTAAAAAATCAAGGTCATGTACTGATTTGCTATGCATCAATATCCTCATCACCCAATATTTGTCAATGAAAATACTAAATAGATAAATACACAATCAACCATTAATTATATTCTACACACAACTTTCAAATGGTGAGAAATTCAACGTGAAAGATGCTCTGAGTTAATTGCTCAAAGTAAAAGTTTGTCTTCATTTCCTTTGAGGAAGAGTTGTGAGCAATTGGATGTCCATAGTCAGGTGTTTTTCTTTTATCCCTCGACGATCATGTTTCAATGTGAAATATGTTGTTAACGCTTTAAAATCAAATCCAGCAACAACTGCAACGGTACCTCTCTCAGACGATGTCGCACCGCACCTTGACTGCTCCAGTCTTCCTTCCTTACTCCTTCAGTCTCTATAAACCCCTGCTAAAACCAGCGTCGTGGTGCAGACACTGACAGGCCCCTCAAAACCCCGCGACGGCAGCTACCAAGCTCAAGGCTGAAGATGTAATTTGCCAAGGTGGACGCCTCGGAGAAGAACAAGGTGTCGCAGGAGTACGGCATCGAGAGCGTGATAAGAGAGAAGCCAGTTTGAAGAGAAGCTTGAAAGAAATCCTAGGGTTGGAGATGAGATTCTTCATAGCCTTTGTTATGCATAAATTGGGCTCTCAAATCCTACAAAACCCAATACTAATGAAATCCTTCAAAATCTATTACATTTTGAATACCTATAGAATCATAAATGACTACACCTGAATTTAAATGTATTATTTTAAATGAACTTTAACGAAAAGTTCCATGTACTATCCATTTTAACAAAAAATCACATTTTTACACTAAAAACTCAATCCTGGTACTATTCACTTTAGTCTTTATTTTGTCCTTATTATTAAAACTCAAAGTTTTCAATTCATTTTCATTAGTTTTCCTTATTTTAAATCATGTTAAATCTTACTTGGACTACACCAGGATTTTAATGTCCTTTAAAATCCTAATTGACTATAAGCTGATTTTAAAATTTTTTAAGAAATTTTCAAATCTTAATTTGATTACACCTCAAACAATATCTAATTACCGCATAAATCATCAAATATTAATTTAGTATTTTAAAATTTACATCTCTTTTAAAAATGTTCTTACGAAGCCGAGGGCCCAAACCCAGCCCAAACACATAACAGTAGGCCCACCCAAGCAAGAAAAATGTCTCTCATGTTAACTAGGCGGTAGCCAAATGAAGAACCGCGCGCATTTCTTTTCATTTTCCCTCTCTTATTACGCTTTCTGATGGCAGCTTTTTCCAGAAAATTTCGACTTAAATAGCTTTTCTGACAGCGGATTTTCCAGAAAAGTTTGATGGGGTTGCTAAGTGCTAACCCCTGATTTCGAACAGAGGCTTTTGTGCGGTGAATGAATTCTGGGTAAGCCCATCTTCTACTTTTTTTTCTGCTTCTGCTTTTCTTTTTGGTAATTAATTGGAAGATTTGGGATGCCATTGATGGACAAAGCTTCAAACTTTATTTTGTTTTATTTATATTTGTGATACCAGTGATATTGGGGACAAATTAAATTTATGATTTTTTGTATCACAAATTTTTGAATTTAATTTACAGATGGTATGTGAGGCTTTTTTACGATTTGTTGCAAGTATTTGTCTCCTAAATTTCATAAAAAAAAACCCTAAATCCCACTGAAAAATTGACACAATCGTGTTCACATTATATCTAGATTAGAGAGGAAATACTCAAATATTTGCATTAATCTTGTTTTCTTGTCCTTAATCTTTGTAGGTGTAGGTACTAGGTAGATGTTCTTACCAAAACAGAAAGAAATCTTAGTGTGTCATGGAACGCAAGGGTAAGTTATTGGCTATTGCGAATTCTCAAGCTCAAGGAGCTTGTCCCGAGAGCGTAGTAGACAGGTTTAGTAATCTTCCAGATGAAGTCGCTCATCACATTCTTTCGGTTGTCTCTTTAAAAGAACTCATTCGAATAGGCACCCTGTCTAAAAGATGCAAAGGGCTTTATCTCTCAACCCCGTCATTGAAATTTTGGTCATCGTACTATGGAGATAAGCAGGGCCAATTAAACTTGCTCAATTCTTTCGATAGGTTTTTGATTCTTCGCGGGGGTAATAAGGTACACAAGTTTGAAGTAAATTTGGAACTCTGTTCAAGCTTACCTGATGAGATTTTCCGAGTGATCACGTGGATCCACATTGCAGCAAGGTGTAATGTTGAAGTGCTTGATCTTCAGTTGAGGGTACTAAAAAATGATATGGCTTTGTTTGAATTGCCATCTTGCATCTTTCTTTGTGGATCTTTGAGGTCTCTAATTGTGAACCTGTATACAGTTCTTAAAGTTCCCTCCTTTGCCGGTTCCACTAATCTCCAACACTTAAAGTTGACTGAGGTTCAAATAGATGACCGCTTTTTCAAATGGATCTCAAGTTACTGCAAATGCATCAAGGAATTGCAGCTTTATGATGTTAGAACAGTAAATATCACCATTGAAAACTCATCTTTGGAATCATTTAGGTTTGTGTCATATAAAAGTGGCATCTGCCATCTTAACATCTCAGGTGAGAAACTTGAAGATATTCATGTAGATTGGGAATATTATCAACCTGGCAGCAGATCATTAACTATTTCTGCTCCAAATCTCAAATATTTCAAATGGATTGGGAATTTATTGAACCGCCAGAATCTCAGGGAATTAATGTGTTTAGAAAAGGCAGAGATTTTTTTGAAGCCTAGTAGAGATATCTGTGACTTTGACAACGCATCCGAGTTTCTTTGCAGTATATGCAGGGTTAAAGTTCTTCTTCTAACCCATGAGACCATGAAGGTAAAGATGCACTACCTTGCAGACTAATATTCTCTTTTGGCCATATTGTATCTGTTTTGGGATCTATAAAAGGATATTACAGGGAACATATCTTGGCTATGGGGTTATGACGCGCCGATAATAGATTATAGATAGCTAATTTGTGTTTCTTAAACTACAAAGTGGTTTTAAAATTGAATATCTTTGGTTTTACTATAGTAGAGACATCGGACGGAATGAAAATTAAAGGAACACTTTGATTGCATTGTTATCTTGTTCCGCTTCTCTTCCTCATGTCTCTCATCTCAAAGTATAAACCTTACCAAAAAGTATGAAGCAATTGATTTGACCTATGAATTTGGAAGTATTATATGGGCTTGAATATATGAACAATTGATGATTAGGCATATTTCTTGAAAATTTGTGTTTTGCTCAACTTTGTAGCTTTGCTGCTGTATTATCTTATAGGCTTTAAGGGATACTTTCATCTTTTCAAGAGTCGCCTTTATAATATTGCAGGCTTTGTTTAAGGAAGTTTCCATGCCCCTGCCGTTCGATAATGTTTCTTACTTGGGTTTGCGCATTACGAGCTTGAGTGATGACCTAGTGCAATGATCTCCTGAGAGAATTTCTAGTCCAGCAAATAGTACTCTCCATAAACCAATGGTATCTCTCTCTCTCTCTCTCTCTCTCTCTCTCTCTCTCTCTCTCTCTCTCTCTCACACACACACACACAAATGTCCGTTAGTTCAGGGACTGGCACTTCCTTGTTTCATAGTTTGTATTCATATTGCTACTTTTCGTGTGTTTTGGAATTTTTTTTTTTTTTCTTCTATTGATTTGGCTGTTGTGTTTTCAGGCACGTGGGTGTAATAGGAAATACTGGAAATCCCAAAAACTGAATTTTACAGATCAGCTTAAGGAGGTAACAATAGAGCTTTCCAACGGGTTCAATGCCATGGAGTTAGCAAGGTATATTCTCGAGGAAGCTCAGCATTTGGAGAAAGTGTTCATATTCTATTTACCCCACCAGTCATATGTCATAAAAAGAGTAAATCAAAGCAAGAAAGTATCCGCTGCCAAAATTGTCTTTCGCAAGAAACAGCGGAGATGATGTGCAAAGCAGGTTCTGTATTACTCAAAAGATTTTGTGAACAGAAGCTTAAACCTTGTAAATTTTGCTTTTAAGGTTTTGAACAGACTTGGAGCTATATCGTTGTGTTTGGTACACTTGCAAATTCGGTATCAGGTAGAAATTGATAGATCAAATTGTGCACAGTGTTAGTGTTTTGGATAGTTTTAGGCTTAATTTCTCTGTGTATTTCTAATCAATTCAACAAGTAATTGAAATGAGATTGAAGAAGATCTATGGAAGATGAAATTCAGAGAAGAAAGGAGTACATAGCTCCTCCAATCTACGTTGGATTTGATACACCAAAGTTGGCTTACATGGTGGGATTTATAGCCGTTGCATACCCACACACACACACACTTGCAGCGTGACTGATCACGTGCACAACACATGTTTTCATTTAACTTCTAACAAACTAGACACGTGGCAAAGTATACACCATAGTGATGATATAATCCCATTCGTACATTACATTATTTGAATATCAATTGCTCTAGCACTTAGAACCATTTGAACTCCATTTCCTTCTTCAATTCTTCTGCTGCTATGCATTTGTGATCTAGCTACCATGCTTATCCACCAACATTACCTTCTAAGCTAGTAGTTGGTTTAACTCCAAGCTTCTCTCTGAGTGTGCATAATCGATCTTTGGGAAGTGCCTTGGTGAAAAATATCAGCAAATTGATCCTCTGATTTACAATAGATTAGCTTGATGATGTTTAATTGCAATGTTTCTCGAATGTTATGATATCTTCTTCCAATGTGCTTTGTTCTTTGATGGAACACATGATTTCTTGTTAGAGCAATGGCATATGTATTATCGTAGTAGAGATGAGTAGCTTCAGTTTATTCTTCACCAAAATCTTGAAGTACAAACCTCAACCACACAGCTTGTGTGGTTGCTTTTGTAGCACTCATGTACACAACTTCAGCTGTTGACAATGCAACATTGTGTTGTTTAACTGAGGCCCAAGAGAAAACCCCACTTCCAAATGAGAAAGCATAACCAGACGTGCTTTCCATATCAATTTCATCTCCACTCCAATCATTGTCACAATAGCATATGAGAATTGATTCATTGCCTTTCTCATACTCAATTCCGTAATCTAGTGTGCCTTGTATATATCTGAGAACTCTCTTAGCTGTTCCCAAGTGCTTCTTTGATGGTCCATGCATAAATTTAGCAAGTAATTTAAGTTAAACTTAATTTAGTTTGGGGTCTTAATACGCTAATAATTTAAGTTAAACTCAAGGAGATTTTGCTGATTTGGAAGTTTTGAACCTTAAAAGCATGAACAGAGCTAACTTGCGCCCACTCGTCCTCGTGAGGAGGGTTTAGTTCGAGAAAGTCAGAGCAAATAGTCTGGGAGTTTTTCATACTTATATGTATGTCTTCTTAGTTTTTGCCTATACAAATACTATATTTTATTTTAATTTTGGACAACAACATGTTAAGTAAAATTGATCATGGTAATGATAATAAAGAACTCTCATAATAAAAATAAATAATGACTAAAACTTTTTTTAAAAACTTATATAGAATAATAATACAACCTTTTTTATATAGAATAATAATATAAAACTATATATTTAATATAGAATATATTGTATATATTAATATGGCTATTGTATTTTATAATAAATTTTTTAGTAATTGAACTTTAAAATTATCAAAATAAATTTTTTTCTTAATGGGTCGAAACGGGTTACCCACGTATTACCCGCGTGTATACTTGTTAAGAACCCGTTATTTACAGGTTCTTCACGGGTCACCCGATAAGGACCCGATAAGTTATCGTGTTGATCCGAAACCCGTTATTTTCGTGTCGTGTCAGAAACTACCAGGTTTACTTCCGTCCCACATTTTCCCTCATCATTAGTGCTGGTACTGCAGATGCAATTATATACTATAATTTGGATCTATAGCGTACAATTTGGTGAAGTGGGCATCCATATAAAGGCACATTACCAGATTTTCAATACATATACGATAAAGAAACTTTTAAAAGTGAGACTTTTTATGGATTTTCTGTTATTTTATATTTTTAGCATAATGTTTTATAACGGTGGTATGTGAATTAACGTTAAATTGTCAGGTGACAGAGAGTCCATAAAGAGCCACACGTCTTCTTAGCATTCTCTTTGCAAAATTGCTTTTGTTGCTAGAGAAAGCAGTGTAAACACGGAAAATTCCTGAAACGAAAGAGACAAGAACAACGTGCACAAACAAATATTTGTATTTAATGATTTTGGGTTACAATCTCTCTCAATTTTGATCCTCTGATTCGATCTCCGTAAGGTGTTGATTTGTGGATGTTGCGTTGATCCAAGGGTCGTTGAGGCTTGATCTTGGATGAACTGTTGGAAGTTTCTTCAAATGGCCGTGGGCTTGATCTTTGAAGGTGGATTTGAACGGATCTTCAAGGAGCCGTTGGGGCTTGATCTTGAGGATGAATGTTTCTTCAAGGGCCGTTTGAGGTTTGATCTTGAATAACGGTGATGAGCGGATCTTCAAGTGCGTTTGGGCTTGATCTTTGAAGAACGGTTGGATGTGTGGATTTGTCGACGTTGTTGATCCAAAGGGCCGTTGGGGCTTGATCTTGGATGAACGGATGATGAACGATGGTGCTTTCTCGAAGGGCCGTCGGGGCTTGATCTTGGAAGAACGATGAACGAGGAACGAATAACACTTTCTTCAAGGGCCGTCGGGGCTTGATCTTGAATTGGTGGATGATTGTTGATCCAAAGGGCCGTTGGGGCTTGATCTTGGAAGAACGATGAACGAAGAACGAAGAACACTTTCTTGATTCTTCGGGAACCTGGATGCTTGAGAGCTTCGGAGTTTCAGAGCTTCAGAGCTTCAAGGTGTAATATGAATTGGTTCCTCCCCTCAAATGAATGAATTAGCCTTCTATTTATAGAAATTTCCAAGGCCTAATTTTGAATATAATATTCCAGATGAAATAAGTCGTTTCTGCCAGGTGTTGACACGTGTCATGTTTGATGACTTTTCCAACTTATTTCGATTTTTGTTTAGACACACGCTACGTGTAAAATTTATGTAATACATGAGCGTTGAAACTTTAATTTATCGGTCAACATTTATTTACCGAAATTTCGATGTCTACAAATGCCCCCACTTCAAGACGCGTTGTATACATGTGCTTGTCGTGTGTAGGAGATGCGTTTTGAAGTCCCTTATTGTAGATGTCGATCCAAGGGCCATTTGAGGCTTGATCTTGAATTGGGCCGAAGATTTCTTCAAGGGCCGTTGAGGCTTGATCTTGAATTGGGCTTGAGATTTCTTCAAGGGCCGTTTGAGGCTTGATCTTGAATTGGGCTTGAGATTCTTCAAGGCCGTTGAGGCTTGTTCTTGAACTTTTGTTTGAAATTTCTTCAAGGGCCGTTGGGGCTTGATCTTGAAAGTTGAAATTGGACCACAAGGAGCTTCATGTGGTAGATGATCCTTGGCTTTGGTAGTGGATGAATCGGCACGTATTTGTTTTTGCGCTTTGTTGACTTTCCACAGCTTTGATCTTGAACTGGGTTGGAGGATTTTTCTGGATTCCTCCAATTGTTGATTTTCCACAGCTTATTCTTGAACTAGGTTTTGATTCAGAGTGGTAGACACTTGATCTTGAATCGGACTTGTGATTCTTCCAGGTCGTCGAGGCTTGATTTTGAATTTGGCTGGAAGCTTCTTCAGGGCCGTTGAGGCTTGATTCTGAAGGTTGACTCGAAATATTGCAAGCAGGCACTCCGAGGTTGAAGGATTCTACGAATGTTGCTTTGTTCAATTATTTTCACTTGAGCAATAGTTGGTCAGCGGAATATGATGCGCAAAGTTTGATGTTACAGTTGTATGACTGTTTAGGATTTATTGTGTGAATCGGACGATGCTTGTAAGTTTCTTTCGATGTTGGGACTTGAGATCAGATTGATTGAGATTTCTTTGTTCTTGAATTAATTTCTTCTGATTGGCCTTGCATCAGTTTCAGGCTTGCACTCATTTCAAAGGAATTGTTCATGCTGCTGCAATTCTCGATATTTTTTGCAAGGCAGTCGATTCCTCGTTCGGTATTCTGACGAAGTTGATGCAATGCCAGGGAGAGGTGAATTGAACGGGTTGAGGCTTGAATTCTTGCCAATCTGCAGTTTGGTCACTTGTTGATTTCTGTTAGCCTCAGGATTGTTCGGTGTGCTTTGTTGACTTGTTTTTTTCTTGATCAATCCGTTCAGGTAGATCGGATTTTGATCGCTTGCTTGTTAGATCAATTCTCCTCATGGCTTAAACGCTTAAGTTGACCAATGCAATCTTATTTTGAAGCATTCTTTTCTCTTCTCCAAAGTGGGGACCCGTCACTTGATTTTCATTTTCTTTTGAGGTGGAAGCGTTGAGTGAAAATGACATTTGTTGCTACTTCTTTTCTCAGCGGTTTTGTTATTCAGGTGTTTTCAAGGGTGAGTCTGAAGCCGCAACGCT